GTGATGGCATAATGTATATATACAGGGTGTAATTGTCATCTAAATTATGCAAAAATAAGAATAACACTGACATCATTTTAATAAATATATTTACCAAAATTACACAAGGTTATCTTGAAATATGAAATAGTAAATTTCTTCAATAAAATCGCCATTGGTTTCAACCATGGCCTCCAGAAGACTTTGGAATCTCCTGCAACTCTTCTGGAAGGTGGAATACTGCCATAATCCTTGCCTTCGGTTCATCTTCGGTATCACAAGGAGTTTTGTTAGTTTTTCACTCAACTGTGCCCCACACATTTAATCAAGGGGGTTGCAGTCTGGGAAGTTAGGTGGCCAGATGTAAGTTGTGATCTGGTTGCAGAAATTGTCTGACAACCATGACTGGGTTCTCCTGCTTGTGTGACATGGTGCAGAGTCCTGTTGCCAGATATAGGGTCTTCCAGCAGCTACCCTATTCATCCAGGGCACCACTACCTCCTCAAGGCTCTTGATGTAGACCTCAACAACAAATTGTGGAGTTCTTTTCTTATTAAAATGATCAAAGCAAGTCTTCTGAGCTGCTATTCCTCTGTAATCACCATTAGACTCATCTAACTCTTTCTGAATCCTCTACACTGTCCTCAGATTGATACCCAAACACTGAAATGTTTCTATTGAAACTTCCAGTGTGAATGCCAAGCATGCCATTTCCAAATTCCTGGCAGAGTGAATTACATCATGGTGCTTTTTTTTTCTCACGGATGGTGCCCAACTGACCCTACTATACTGCAGTTGACAAAATCAAAAACTAATGAAGCACAAAATTAAAAATAAAAATGGCGACAATTTACCTATCATAACCTGTATATGTAATATGTATATCACTAATATATTTTTCATAGCAGTATGATGAGTTGTATAAATAACACATTTTGTAAATCTAACATAAGCTAAAACTCATCCAAGTCATGTTTCTCCATATCCATATATTGTAAAATGTCTCTCCTTTCTACAATTCAGAGATCTTTTATTGTTCACCATTACAGCCATGCCTGTATACAGCATAGCACATGTATTGTATAACACATAGAAAACTGATGATATTGTCATTGACTGTTATTGACTTGAAATAGATTTCTCTGATGTCTGAAATGTACATCTATTATTTCAGAACATTGATGACATGAAGTATTATTGATCCCCAGTTTGAGCAAAGAGCTATCATTAGCATTTATCATTTGCAGCACACTGCGATCTCGTGTTTGTGATGCATACAAATTATTGGACGCAGTTGGAATTTATGACTGAAACACCAAACTGAAACAAACACAATGACATTATAAAACTTCAAAAGTATTTTAAAGGGTATAAAACTTTCATGGAATTAAAACCGAACCATATTTATAAGATTAACAGATATCATTATAATTACTTTGAAAATATTTACTTTCAACTTTGCTTAGGCTATCATTTTGATGAAAGAGAATTGCAGATTCAGAAATAAAGGATATGCTCCTAGTGCGATTTGAACTCCTGTCACTTTTGCCAAAGGGAAACTGCAGTCAACACACCAGTTCAATTAATTTTTTACATTTGTAGTATTAGTCATGTAAAAATAAATGTGGTGCCATGAGTAGTTTTAGAATTAAGTGATTTTTTTATAGGTTAGATTCTGACTTCTGCAATGCAATTGAGTTCTTTTTGCTTACAAGTTAATTCAACTGGTGTGTTGACTGCAGTTTCCCTTCATGAGGGAGGCACGGTGGAGTAATGGATAGCAGCTCAGGTTGAGGAATCAGAGATCCAAGTTCAAATTCCAGTTGAGTCCATTACATCACTTATGTGCTAATACCCTTGGGAAAGGTATGAATCCTCTTCTTCTCCTCCCAGCTATGTGTAAATAGTAAGACAAACTGGGTCCTTATAGCCTTGGATGGCAACTGGTCTACTGCAGAAAGAAATGGCAACCTACTGTGGGAAAAAAATCTGCCTCATCAGTCATGTAACGAAAGATACATGATCGCCTAAATGTGTATCATGCATGGCACATAACTGACTGACTGAGTATTAGTCGTAAAAGTCAACAATTATTATTAATTTTTGATTAATATTTACTTTTAATTTCATCTTCATTTTTTATTAGATGAAGTATAGTATTTACTTTCATTTTCACGTTTTATTTAATGAAACATTGTCAACTATTATTATTAATTTTTGACTAGTATTTACTTTCAATTAGATGAAGAATTGTCAGCCATTATTATTCATTTTCAACTACTATTTACTATTTCACCATTTTTATTACATCAAGCATTGTCACCCATTATTTTTAATTTTTGACTAGCCAGATGGCTTAATTTCCCACATGCAATCATATGACAATAAACCCAGAATTTATTGAAAATAATTGCACATGCCTGGAATGTGATAAAATTGTCAATTCAGGTGGGTCTAAAACAGCACATTAAAATCCATCAGGCTGCCACCCCCCAGCCTCCAGTTTTGGTTCATAACAACAATTTTGCAGGTAATTTTATCTGTTCTGTCAATGTATATACATATCTCTCTCATGAGTTAAAAAATCATAGACATCCCAGGTCCTTGCCAGCTAAGCTATTATTTATTTATTTTTTCATTGTTTTAATAGGAATTAACAAATTAGAAAAACAGAATCTTGCTCAAAAATGAGTTAATAGCCATATTGTGGGTGCGATGGATAAATTGTCGTTTAAATTATGCAAAAATAAAAGTAACATTGACATCTTATTTTAACAGATAGATTTACCAAACTTACACAAAAATATCTGGAAATACTAAAGAGTAAATTTATTCAATAAAATCGCAATTGGCTTCAACCACTGCCTTCAGACTTCAGAATATCCTGCAACTCTTCTGGACAGTCTCCTTGTTTAAATTGGTGAATGCTACCATAATCCTTGCCTTTAAGTTCATCCTCAGTGTTACAAAGTGTTTTGTAGGTCTCTCACTCATCTGCACCCAACACATAATAATCAAGTGGGGTTGCAGTCTGGGGAGTTAGGTGGCCGGATGTAAGTTGTGATGTGGTCATAGAAATTGTCTAACAACCATGACTGGTTTCTCGTGTTTGTGTGACATGGTGCAGAGTCCTGTTGACAGGCATAGTGTCTTCCAACAGTCACCCTCTTGACTCAGGACAGCACTACTGCCTCAAGGCTCTTAATGTAGGCCTCAATGTTGAGACTGAGGCCCTGTGAGAAGATGAATAGAAACATAATATCCCCATCACTTGTGATCACTCCAAACACCTTTGTAATCATCATTAGATTCATCCAACTCTTTCCAAATCCTCTGCACTCTCTTCAGTTTGACCCCCAAATACTCTGAAATATTTGTATTGGAGCTTCCTGTGCAAATGGTAAGCAGCCCAGTATGTCATTTCCAAATTTCTGGTGGAGTAAATTGCATCATGAGGCTCTTTTTCTCACAGACAGTGCCCAACTGACCCTATTATATAGTGCAGTTGACAAAAATACAAACAATGTACATGCATGAAATTAAAAATGTAAAATGGTGACAATTTACTCATCACACCCTGTGTATGCATATATATATATATATATATATATATATATAAAGTGCTTGGTATTATTGAAACAGTGGTTGATGTTATATAATAGAGCTAGGAAGTATATATATATATTAATAAATATACATATTATCCACACCATTTGCACCACTCAGAGTTTCATGCTAAATACAATCTTCAGATGCTGAGTATATATATATATATATATATATATATATATATATATAATCCATTACATTCACTTACATGCTTGAGAAGGATATTAATCCACTTCTTCTCCCTCCAGCTGTGGGCAAATAGCAGGACAGCATGTGTTCTATAGCCTTTGATGTCAACTGGTCTAGAAGAAGGACAACTCTGAATTCAAAACCTGCAGAGGGTCATTTGTTGACCTTGTGGCGTGTAGTGCATTAGGTCTCTGTATTCAGCCCTACTAAAAGTGGGGTTGGTTCTGCACAAAGCTTTCACCACTATAATCAAAACATATGTGCTGGTTTCTGGGCTGTTGGTTCCTAGGAACTGAGCTGATTGACCCTCATACATTGAATATGACGGAAGAGTCCACCATATATATATATCACATCACATACATATATATATATATATTATAAATTAATTGATTTAAAATATCTATAAGAACACCGGATTTTATATCTTACTGTTCTTTCTTTTTATTTATATACATATATATATATATATATATTTATGAGTTAAAGTACTCGGTAGAAGAGATATTTAAATATAAAAGCGGACACTGAGTTCAACACTGAGTGGCGACAGTCTGTTTCATGCTTGAACGCAATCTTTTTATAATGTGTGTGTCTCTGTGTGTGTATGTGTGTGTGTGTGTGTGTGTGTGTGTGTGCCTGCTGATTCATCTATTTAAAAACTCGATACTTTGAGGAATGATGTTCACTGACCTTCAAAAATAAATTAAATAACTCAGTAAAATGTGTCACCAAACATACCTAAACTTATTGAACCCCTGAAATTTCCCACATTTCCATCAAAATCAAATTTCCAATCTAACGTTATTTAAATAAAAAAAAGCTCAGATTTAGATCTCACAAATTTTCCTTTTGCAAAACTGAAATATTTCTCTTGAAATTCATAATTTTATTGTCAACAGCTTCAGCAAAAGATCACAAAAGCAGTTCATGTTTAAAAGAAATATCTATTGATTAATTTTATTTACTTTTTGTCATTTGGAACAATTGCAACGTTTATGCTTGAAAGAATTTTACAAGGAAGAGAAATCCTTTAGAAATTTTCCTTTAGGGAAAAAAATTGTTTGGTTTTTTTTTATCAATAGATCCAAAGTTGAATTAAGAGTGAATAGACTGCAACCAATACAATCTGTGAATTATATACAACGCAATAAACGATAAAACAGATGGATAGATGCAAAGAGACAAAAAAAGAACTGGTAAGTTTATTACAAAGCATCTTTTTGAAACACAGGTTCCCTACACGATCACAGAAGTTAAGCAATGTTGAGCCTGGTCAGTACCTAGATGGGTGACTGTTAGGGAATACTATGTGCTTTAAGATCAGATGTGTGGGTGGTGTAATGGATAATGGCTTGGAATTGTTAATCAGAGAGCTGAGTTCTCATTCCTGTTGGGTTTGTTATATTCACTTATGTGCAAATACAATTGTGAAAGTTATGACTCCAGCTCTTCTCTCCCCAGCTATGGATTAATTAGTAAGATTTGTATCACTAAACCATTATTATCTCAAAAAATTCTTACAATCTAAAAGTATTTCTTGGCCTTAAATAACCTTCAAATGGTTGATAAGCTGTAGAAAACATATCAGTCAATCAATTAATCTTCCTTGTTACTCATATGCTCTATCCATGGTATTCTCAGCCTTACCTGATAGAAAAACATCTCTTTCACAAATATAAATTAGAAAATTGAATATCTGAGTGAAAAAATGTTAGCCTTGTATTGAAGCAAACAACAATAATTTGTCACTAGTGAAATTGCCTTACAAAATGCATAGAGGAGAAATAGACAAAAAGAACAACATTAAATACAAAGCTAAAAGTACAAATGTTGCCAAAAAGACAACTTCTTTTTAAATGTTCATAAATGTTGATTCGTTCTTTGTTTTACAATGTGATACAAATTATTATGGCAATAAAGAAAGAAAAGAAAAGTTCTTTTCTTCTTCAAAAGAAAATCAGACCCAAAATATTTACTTGTAATGTTCCAAGATAGCGGTTCAGATTGAAGAATTGGAGAGCCAAGTCTGAATTCCACTTGGGTCCATTTACATTCACTTACTTGCTTAGGAAAGGTATGAATGCTCTTCTTCTCTCCCCAGCTATGTGTAAATAGCAGGACAGACTGGGTTTATAGCTTTGAATGGCAACTGGTCTACTGCAGAAAGAAATGGCAACCTACTGCAGGAAAAAAAAATCTGCTTCATCAGTCATGTATTGAAAGATACATGATCACCTAAGCATGTATCATGCATGGCACATAACTGACTGAATGTTCGATTTAATTTTTCTATTCCTTATGTGTTCTTTCTTTTCCTTTTTAAATGAAATCAAGTATAGAACAGTGAAGTGTCAGGATTTGTCCATTCTAACAGGAATATTTTTTTAAGCAAATCGCCCCAAGCAAGGCAGGAGTGCCACTATAGCACACAAGGGGTTAAAGAGAGTGAGGGTGAGAATAAAGAGGTGTGTTTGGGAAAAGGATAAAAAGAAGGACAAGGATCAAGTTTAAGCCATCAGAAAGATATCAAAAGTTAAATGTCTTTCTATAGAAATAACATATCTGTTGATTCAAGTTCAAGTCTAAGGACTTCTAGCTTTTCACATTAATATTGTTGGGTAGAAAATAACGTTTAGGCCTGTTTTAATACCAGTATGTATGTGGGTGTGTAATAGTGTTGGGAATAAGGTTTATTTCCTATAGGGTTTCTTAGAAGAGAAATTTAAAATGGGAGGTCAGCAATTGATAATCATTTTTATAATATATGAGCTGATTCATTTTAGATAGAAAAATGAACATTTTGTGGTTGTATGTTCAAATGACTGATGCAACTGAAAGTAGCATTTACATTTTATGATTGATTGTCAGCTACAGGCATTTCAACTTGACAATCTGGAAGAGGTGATGCAGCCTCATTTAAAGGGGTTGACTTTTCTGTTGAAGGTGTAAATCTTTAGGTCACTGTATACATGTATGGTAATACAAAATAATAATAGTGTTAGCAATAAAAGTTTTTGACATACAATGTATGGAAAGTAGTTCCTGTGATAAAAGTTTAGTGATAAGATTGAAGAAGAAAAGATGAAAAATAATGGAAATACAAGAAAAAAGAATTTTGAATGCAGAAACATTGGGAGTTTATCTTTGATTTAAAGAAAAAAAGGACATTTAAAAAATACATTAATGGATTCCAATAAAAACTTTCTTAGAGCCATTTTATTGGTATTAGAATTACAGAAGATTTATTTATCTGTTCAGATGAAGATTTAGGTTTTAGATTATTTACTATTGTATACAAATAGATTATTCATGTCTATATATATATATATATATATATATATATATATATATATATATATATATATATATATATAGAAAAAGTGAAGAGAAAAAGAGAGAGGGAGGAGAATGATAGATGAAAAAAAAAAAAAAAAGGAAGAATTAAATATTTGGCATGCTACTGAACTTTGGAAAAAAGACTGTTTTCCATTTTTATGTGTTTGATGTAATTGTTCATGTTTGTTTTTGTTTCAGACATTGATTTATTTCATATATATATATATATATATATATATATATATATATATATAAGTACTTGCATAAACTAATTTGCACGCAATGTGGAACAATGAAAAACTATTTTATTAAAAAAGAAATGCAACCAGCAGATGCTTAAAATTTTAAAACAAGTTACTTTAAAATTCCCATCAAAATGTTTCAAAGTGATTATTTGCTTCTTAACCTTTTGTGTTCTCATGGCTTTATTGCGTTGTTTTCTTAAAATCAGAGCCGAGTTACAATTTCATTCAAATTCATTATATTCATTTGTGTATAACTATCCTTGGTAAAGTTATTAATCCACTTTTCCTACCAGCTATGGGTTAATTAGTAGGATTGTATCTGTAAATTATTATTATCTACAAAAATTCTTACAATCTAAAATAAATAATAACCTGCAGTGGGTTGATAATCCATAAAAAACAAACTAATCAAATCAAACTTCCATTTTATTAGGTGTGTACAAAAGTTTCTGACATTTTCTTTATTATTCATGTAAAAAAAAAAAATTATCAAAGATATGTACATTATCCAGAAAGTGTTCTAAAAAATTTTGTGGGTGTAGGGGATGCTGATGCATCCTGAGTAACCGATATCAATCTCTTCTCCAGTGGGTCTTTTTGTCTTAGTGTATGAGCAAACTTGTCTCATTACCTTAGTTCTCACAGTGGTATGATATTTCTGACTCAAGGAGGATTTGATTATTTGTCTCAAGTGAGCTGGGGGTTAATTTTTGCCAGCCATGCAAACAAAGCAAATAATTTCAATGCTTTGTGAGTTCTAAAAATCTCTTATTCTATAAAAGATATTTTGTTCAATAAGAGGTCATCTTTGCATGTAATTAAATCAATTAATCAGTAGCCACATGATTATTTCATGCAGCAAGTATCTAATTTTCAACATGATTTGTTAATGCACTTAACCTAAAAAATCCTTATTAATCACATACATCAAAATTCAAGTAACTGTATGTTAAATTATGCACTTATTGATCAACCCTCATCTCAATATAGAAAAGAAGAGAGACAAGGAAAAATTTTTTATGCCATTCCTTGAATAAGTTTATCATGATAGAATGTTTTCCTCATGTTTATTTCATGAAGCTTGAATAGATATGGAGGCAGCAGGGGGCGGGTGTCATTAACAACCAGAAGCAATAGAATCAAGGATCCAACTGCCAAAATGTAAGCTTTGAACAGATTCTCATGATTCCAACAAGCTGGGGTTTCAGGTGTTGCAAGCCTGCAAGAAAAGTTTGAAATTTGGTGCCATATGAAATTCATATTAGTATATATTCTAAGGCCAACATCAGTTACTTCAATTCATTGGCTTATTATGATTCTATCACTAAAATGGTCTTATTTTAATAACAAATACTTTAAAAAAAAAACATTGATCTTATCAAAAAATTCACTCATTAAAAAAGTTGCTTCAGGAGTCCCTCTGATATTAGGGGCTCTGAAGTTTATGTTTCATTAGTTTTTTTGCAACCGAGAACAAAGGAAATGGAAGTATCATTTCAGCTATTGTTCAGACATGGAAGAACCGTGTCGGCCATATTGTGTATTTGTAAATAAAAAGTATGTGCATCACTTCTGCAAACCAGAGCCACCAGACTAAACTGTGTTGCCATTGTTATTACAGACCCCTTACCAAGTTGTGACAAGTTTCATAGTAGATCAGTCACTAGACACAAGTGAGATAAAAATATTTCTTTTCTCTTTTCAGTCAATAAGATTCAAGAAAAACAGCTTTTAGTGTATAATGTGCTTTTGGTAAGCATCATTTTCTAAGATTCCATAAATTACAGTTTTCCAAGTAAATGCCTTCAGATATGGTAATTAATCTCCAAAAAAGATACTTGTTTAATCTCCATCATTCATCATTAAAAATAAAAAAAAAAATCTTGCCTGACTTTTAAATCTACTTTTGTCTTGGGGAACTGTTGCTGATTTATATTCAAATGTTCTTTATATAAAATTAAGCAAAAAATTTCACCTTGAAACAATTTTGATAACAAAATCTAGAAAACTCCATCCATTCTATACACTAGATACAGCATCTGTTGAAATATTTTAGACAGAGTCTGAGAAATGCAGATTATTGAATTGTACAATATCAAAATTCAACATTCAATTATTTCCTTTACAAGACATAAGGTTTACATTCTCTCAAAATAATAAGTCAAACAAAATGAAAACATGATAGTCAAATAAAGTAAGATTTTAATGATATTAGTCTACCAGTTTATTATGAGAATGATGTGCTTGTAGCTTTTTCTTTAGAGAGAACTGGATTTTGTGTGTTCAAGAGATGGTTAATTGTCATATGAGGTCTTGTTAAGTTGTTGGGTAAATTGATTTTTCATTAAAATAAATGAATAAATACAAAGACTCTATTCTTTTATGAACATTGTTTTTATGGTTTAGTTCTATATACTGATTGGATATTCTACATTATAAAACCTAAAATTAACCTAACTCTTGTATGGGAACCCAAAGCTAATATTCAGGTGTAGGCCTGTTTAGATCAACTGTGAATCCCAAATACAATTCGGTAGAAAATTACAACAATTTCAAAATGAATTCGACATTTATTTGTTTCTTTTACAAAACATAAGAATTGAAATGGTTTATTGTGTGAAGACGTTCTCTCAAAATAATAATAGAAGCAAAACAACAACAGGATAATAAAATAAATTAAGATTGCAATGGCATTAGCTTACTAGTTTGTTGTGGGGCTGACCAGTTTTTGAA